TTTTTTAAAGAATTATGTATTATTTTAAAATTTTGTTGCTTATCATGAATAACTTTTTCTCCAGATATTCATCACTGGAGCCTTCATTCATGTAATAATTTTACTTAATATTTGGCTGTTATTCTAAGAATATGTAAAAATGAGCAAAAAATTAAATATTAAAAAAAATGTCTCCTGCATTAATTTATATTACCCTTTTCATTTATTTAATATTTTAATCGTTTTTAGTTTATATTTTATTTTCGATGCCTCCCGCCTAAAAAAAAGACAATTTTCAGCCTCGGTTCACGAATTTAATTCGTTCCCGAAGGCCGTTCGTAATCCGAAATGTTCGTAAACCGAAACTATTTTTCCAATAGGAATCAATGTAGAGTAAAAAAGTAACAGTACAATAAAATTGGAAAAGAAAATCATGGCACAACACACGAATGTATACAACACGGCGGTCGACTCAGAAATTATTCCGTTCAAGTTAACTAGGTTCGAGAACCGAAATTTTGTTCGATAACCAAGACATTTTAACCTCGAATATTCTGTTCGAAAATCGATTTGTTCGACATGTGAGACGTTCGACAACCAAGGTTCCTCTGTAATTCTTTTTAAACAAATCAACTGACTTGGTAATCATTCCTTATTGTAAATAAGCAACAATCAAATTAACAAGTGTAATTTTAAAGCAATAAATAATTTACGAAAAAACACCACTCAGATATTTATCTCCATTTAATTTTCATTGTTTGGATTTTTCGGTGAAGTGAAAATTCTGAAACGATTTCTTCAGTGGAGCCAGTTTTCAGACAATTCTAATTTTCTTTAAAGAAAAGGAAGAAATCCTGAGGAAAAATAATGCTATTCTTTCTGTTACTTACATGGCACATAAAAAGTCCGAGCCCCAAGGGGATCTTCACCCGAGGCAGTACTTCTCCTACAAGAGGGGTCTGCTTTTATTGCTCGGCGCCTGAGGTGTTCCCAAAAATGGAACAAACGAGGGGACTTGGGCAATTTTTCCACGTTATGCCATTAACCCACTTCAAACTAACCTTCTTGTGTCACATTCGGTAGCGACGTGTGTGCTCTGAAAAATACCTTAGTTGTTTTTAAACACAACCTTCTTACCCACATATTCTTAAGCTTTTCTTTTCATTTCTTTAACAAGAATACGTCAGTCCAACAGGAGTGCCTAGATGTAAGATGGAAATAACAAATTAGATGTGCAGACCAGGATGATTATCAGGAATTTGATCCTATTTCACTTTCAGTGGCAATAGCTCAAGACCTTCTTAACACTCAGTTTTTATTAACATATTATTCTGTTTATATTCTACTGAGAAAGCAATCATAAAAGTGAATATCTGTGCGCTGAGCGCGAAATTTCCACCTTGGAGGGGTGTACGCACTCGGATACTTACCGATCAGGGGGCTCCGTCCCTGTGCTGGTGGTATCACGGCTATCACTAGCTTGGACCGGCTCTGACCAGTTTGAACCAGCTATGACAAGCCAAGACCAGCTATGACTAACTTAGACCAGCTATGACCAGCTTGGACAAACTCTGACCCGCTAAGACCAGCTTAGACCAGCGGCCCGAGTTAAAACACTCGGGTCCCCACGTTAAAAACTGACCTTGTATTACAACCTGACTCGGTTTGTCAAGTAAATACCGTGAATACCTGGGCGCCTCGAAGTGGTGCAGTAATGGGTAGCAAGTTTGTCTCTAGAACAATTGCTACAATTACAATTATTAGGCAAGCAATCGTAACGATGATGTTTATTTGCTTGAAAAGAATGGCTTCATCGTGAAATCGAATCTTCAATCGTCAAATGGTTCATTTCACTAAAAAAAAATGATAGAAAATTAAAGGGAGATAACTTTTATATCTGAATAGTGCTTTTTTAAAAAAAATAAATGAAACATTTTTTTAATCAATTAATTCCAAACAAGGCGATAATGTCACTACGCTATGGGACTACTGAGGGTGAAAAGACTTTAGAAGGAACCGAAAACTCAATCATAAACAGAGAACAAAGAATAAACCTCTATCCCCACTCAAAAGACCGTGGAGGAGTGTGAACCAAACGATAGGCAAACCTATCTACTCCTATTGAGGAGTAAAAAAATAAAATAAAATGAAATAAAAACATATAGTAAATAAAAATTCAGAGTGTAAGCGGAATATAGAGTTGAAATAGATATTAGAAGAATCCGGAAACCTATTCTTAAACAGGAAATAAGGGAGAAACCTCTGCTCATGTTCAAAAACCTGGGAAGGCGAATGAACAGGGCGGCAGACAAACCTAGCTACTCTTAAAAAATGTGTTTTTTTTACTTATTATAATGAATAATACACTTTTCGCCATACTTTTTCCATTACTGAAGTCTTTCTTGCCTGTAAAAAATTTTTTTTATAATATTTTGGTTTTATTCTAAGAATATTTAAAAACGAGTAAAAATAGCAAAAAACAAACTCATTTAAATATTTGTTTAATTCAAACCAATTGCGTAAATAAATTAAATATTCTCTATTAATTCATTTTTACTTTTTTATACATTTAATATTTTTTATTTTAATTGTTTTTTAGTTTATATAATTTATTTTCGATGCTCTCAGAAATGACAATTTCCTGGCTTTAACTGATTTCAACATTAAATACTCCTCTTAAACAAATGTTTTTGTTTTTTATTTTATTTTTAATCGTATCACCCCCACCCCCAAGCAAGGCGGGAAAGACTGGATATAGGGAGGATTGAGGAAAAGACAAACTCTGAACGGGATTCAAGAAGACAGAAGATGGCGATTGACGTTGCATTTAAATTCTTGAAGGTTAAAGTTATCATCAGGGAAGCAAGTAAACAGAAAGAAGTTTGACAGGCGGGAAGCTAGGAAAAGAAACAATGGCGGATATATTTAGATATTTCAACGGTGAACGGGTGGGACCTAGATGCCAATTTAGTAGCACGCTTAAATTCATGTAATCGCGGTTCCAGGGGGAAAAAAAGAAGCTTATCAGAACAGTTGCCATGAAAATATTTGCTAATTTCATTGTTACATAAATAACAATCAAATTAAGGAGTGTAACTGTTATATGATAGATATTTAAAAAACACGAACGGACCCATCAGATAGAGCAATTATCTCCCTTTAATTTTCTACGTTTGGATTTTTTGGTGCAGTAATCAAAGAAATGAATGTTCAATTTAACGGTTTCAGTGAAACCAATTCTCAGATAAATGACATTGTTATGAACCGGATTCGTGTTGTTGTAGACACAATTGGTACAATGTTGTTTTGTTGTAAGTATATATATATATATATATATATATATATATATATATATATATATATATATATTTTAAGCATTACGCCCTGAGCAAGGCGTGAAGCCACTAGGATGCAGGGGTTGCAGAAGATTTGGAGCGAGAGCAGATAGGAGAGATAGAAAAAGGATGAGGAGAAGGATAGTGGGTAGATCAAGGTAACTGGAGGTGTCGATTGACATTACATTTGAACAGTTGGGAACCACAGCTCTCAGGGAAACAGCAACCGGGAAGGGTGTTCCACAGGCGAGAAGTGCGAGGCACGAAGCCACTGGAGTAGAAGAGACGGCTACATTCAAAAGTTTCTGCAGTGTAAGGGTGGGAGCGGGATGCCAGCCCCGCAGGGCGCCTGAATTCATGGAGTCCGGGAACCAGCGAAAGCAGCCCATCGGAGCAACCACTACGAAAGTATTTGTAGAAAAGACAGAGAGAGGCGACGGCGCGTCTGTGAGAGAGCGACTGTAGACTGAAACAAGCAGACGACCATAATCTGTTTATTGTTTTATTGTACGCATTAAACTTTCAAACCTGTCGTATCATGTGGCTTTCGTCACAAATCAAGACAGATTAAATCTCTTACGATTAATATCTGATAACATTAATTGGAGATCAAGTAACATCAAGAATTCGTTAATTCAGCATCCAGCACCCAGCACAAAAATATATATATATATATATATATATATATATATATATATATATATATATGTTCAGTTGTTTATTTCAGGGATTAACTTGAACGATCTATGTGTAGGTGAATCTTGCAATAACTTCTGTCATCTCAGTTTAACAAATCAGCTTTTCAACCAACGAGGACTCTCTGCTCAGTCCCTCTATTCATCTTTACGCCGAAACGCGCTGCTGGTAACTCTAACAGGCGGCTTAGAAAATACATTAAAAGTTGCCCAGAACTGAATCCCAATTCCTGGTTGTACAGTCAGGAAATTATACTTTGTTAATAGACGACTCGTGTAGATAGCCTTGTCAGAGGAAGAAATGTGCCTTTACGCACGCCTATACGCTGTACGTAGATGAGTCAATTATTTTTATGGGTACTATGCTAGCATGCATATAATAATCGATCAATTCGTTCAATTTATTCAGACAATCTACTTAGCAAAATATACCTGGTCGGTCGCTGATCACGTTTAAGGACGGTAATAATCTTTGAAAAAATCGATAAGTCAATGATTTGAACTACATCCGTTCTTGTTACACATGATAGATTTGCTCATTAATAACCGGCGTACATATTTTCAAGGTCAGTAGGAAGATGTGTCCTGTTAAAGCTGGACTAATGATCTTCATTTCAGTTTATTCAGTCATAGCATTTTGTGCCGCTGTGGTCACAACTCCCCTCCATCTCACAATTGTAGATTATGGTAACATTCAATGCAGAATAGTGCAATGTCTGACCGGTTCGTTTTGCACCGGCGATACTGAATACTATCGGAAGTTAAAGTGGCAAGACCTACAAGGCAGCAGGTGGTTTGAATTCAGAGTTTTCCTTCTCCTAGATTGGTTGTTAACTAAGGCTATAGGGCCTAGTCTGCCATGATGTTTTACACATAGCTGGTATTCTCCTATTAGCACGTAAGTGGATGAAATTAACTCGACTGGAATTCGAACTTGGCTCTCAGATTCCTAAATCAGAGGCGTTGTCCATTACCCCATAGATTGAGTGAGTATCTATCTATCTATCTATCTATCTATCTATCTATCTATCTATCTATCTATCTATCTATCTATCTATCACATCCTGTTATTATCTACCTATAAATCTATTATATCCTATTAATATCTCTCTATCTATCTATCTATCTATCTATCTATCTATCTATCTATCACATCCTGTTATTATCTACCTATAAATCTATTATATCCTATTAATATCTATCTATCTATCTATCTATCTATCTATCTATCTATCTATCTATCTATCAGATCCTGTTAATATCTATCTATCTATCTATCTATCTATCTATCTATCTATCTATCTATCAGATCCTATTAATATCTATCTATCTATCTATCTATCTATCTATCTATCTATCTATCAGATCCTGTTAATATCTATCTATCTATCTATCTATCTATCTATCTATCTATCTATCTATCTATCAGATCCTGTTAATATCTAGCTAGCTAGCTATGAAATCCTGTTAATATTTATCTGTCTATATTTCTGGGATGAGGTATTCTAATCATTTACACTATTTACATTGTTCGGAATGTTGTCTTCATCTTCGTTGCCATATTCACGACGTTGAGGCCGTTGTACGGTCCGGCCTTCTTCAGGTTATTGGAATTTCGAACTGAACCCTTTATTTCGTCCACCATGGTATATCTGTCTATCTATTAATTCCTGTTAATATCTATCTCCACCGTGCCTCCACTATGAATGATATTATTCGCATTTAATACTTTTACAACATTGTGTCTATGTAAAAAGAATAAGCTTAGCTTAAAGATTATTGAAAGGATAAAAACTATCCGAACGATTAAACAGCCAGGCCTACTGTTGTAAATATGACGTATTACTGTAATACGATATGTCTGCTATAGGTTCGGTTGACGGCCACAGTCGTAGACTGGCATCGAACATCCCCAAAAAGGAAGTATGTGTCGGATCTGAGTACCTTTTCGTTTGACCGGGAATTAACGAATAAGCAATTAGCTCGACGGCGTAGATATTTCTTATTAAGAATGGAGATTCTCCCTACCAAATCTTTCAAAGAGAATTTCGCTTTTAGTGAACACATGGCGCGAAACTGATAGATATTAACGAGCGAAAAATTGTAATTCTCTATGTCTTTCTGGTTCACTGACAAGTAGTCGGTAAAATTTACCTACTAAATGCAATAAAGGCAATGCAGATAATACGCGTTTTGCTATATATAACTAGGAGAGAGAAAAAACTTTCTCCTAACTAGTTCTTCAGCAATCATGCATAGAATACCGTTGCCATATATGGTCTGGTGCCCCTGCTGTTCATCTTGAGGTTCTCGACAAAATCCCAAGATGGATATACAATGTGATAAGTCCTGACTTGGCACCTCAACTCCAGTCACCTTCTCACATATGTGATGTGGTTTCCCTCTGTCTTTTCTACAAATATTTTCATGGCAACTGCTCTGACCAGCTATTGTCACTGGTGCCCCGATTGCATGAATTTAAGCGTGCTACTAGGTTGGTATCTTGGTCCCACCCTTTCACTGTCGAAACAGTTAAATGTAACCGCCTTTTCTGCTCCAACAGCATCTCCTCTCGCACTTCCAGACAATGGAACTCCCTTCCTCTTACTTGCTTCCCTGATAACTATAATTTTCAAAAATTTAAATGTAGTGCCAACCGACATCTTCTGTTACATTAATCCCTGTCCTTCTTTTTATCCTTTTCTCACCCCCCTACCCAATCTTTTCCCTTACTTACACTCGCTGTAGCCCCCCCCTTAGTGGCACTCCCGCCTTGCTTCGGGTGAAATGCTAAAAAAAAGGCGATGAAATACCGCTTTAGTCTCTTTAAATCAAAAGTCAGCCGATATCTATCTTACTCGTCCCCATAATGCTCTCTTACTCCTCCCTTACAGCAAATTCTTTTAGTAACCATGTACCTTGAGGTGACCGCTGGGAACTTATATTGGGTGAAGTATCAGTAAAGATAGATAGATAGATAGATAGATAGATAGATAGATAGATAGATAGATAGATATTAACAGGTTCCAGTAGATATATATATATATATATACATACATACATACATGTATAGATATTAACAGGATCAGATAGATAGATATATATTAACAGGTCATATATATATATATATATATATATATATATATATATATATATAGATAGATATTAACGGGTTCAGTAGATAAATAGATAGATATTAACAGGTCTCAGTAGATAGATAGATAGATTGATAGATAAATAGATAGATAGATATTAACAGGTTCCAGTAGATAGATATATACATACATACATAGATATTAACACGATCAGATAGATAGATATTAACAGGTAATATATATATATATATATATATATATATATAGAGAGAGAGAGAGAGAGAGATAGATAGATAGATAGATAGATAGATAGATAGATAGATATTAACAGGTTCCAGTAGATAGATAGATAGATAGATAGATAGATAGATAGATATTAACAGATTCCAGTAGATAAATACATACATATATAGATATTAACAGGTCATAGATAGATAGATAGATAGATAGATAGATAGATAGATATTAACAGGTTCCAGTAGATAGATAGATAGATAGGTAGATAGATAGATAGATATTAACAGGTTCCTATAGATAAAAAGATTAAAACAGATAGAAATAGATTTGAACATAGATAGATAAGGTGTCTCTGTGCCCTACTTAGATCAACCGACGTGGAATGAAAACGCAATTTCTCCAGTTTGCAGACTATATACCAATATAAATCAATGAAGTCCGATGCCGTTAATATTTTATTATTTTTTTCTCATTAAAAATTCAAAGAATCAATCCATTTCAAGAGAAAAGAGAAAAGGGGGCGAGAGAGGAGGTAGACTGGCCGCGAGAACTGTCGTTTTAAAACCCCTTATTTCATGAATTTGTCATGTCTATTTTTGTTTGTTGTTGTTGCTGTTCGGTCGGCTGGTTCCCTAACAAACTATAACTGGATTAGTTACTAATTGCCATGAAAATTATCAGCTAGCCTTTCAAAATACGCATTCGTGAAGCGGAACACATAAACTTTCTGAAATCAATGAAGAATAATTTTCTCTTGTGAAGGGTGATGAAGGCGATCAGAGCTCTTAACTTCTTATTTCTCAGTCGGGTGGTATTTTTATTTACATTATTTTCACTCTGAGTTAATGAGACAATAGTCAAGTAGATTAAAGCGTTTCTTCGTGAACTTGGCGATATAGTAATTCTGAGTTCAATTCCCGGGTCAGGTAGTACAGGATCCCACCCAGAAACAGGGAGAGCAATATTAAATAAGAACAAGGCGAGATATTCCTAGACATGACCAGCGGAACGAGAACAATCTAACCCTATAAATTAAATAAAGATTTCGATTCAAAATTCTCTGAAGATTGCCTGGATCGACAAACACCAGATGAAGGCCGGAGAGCATAACGGACGAAAATGCTGTGATAATAACAATGAAGATAAGGACAATAGTTCGAGTGTAAATTATGTCACCTTTTATAGCTCTAAGCAATGTTTTTTGCCCTCATTGTTCCTCCCAATCCCTATTCTGCTATCGTATTGGACAAGCTCGTTAGGTAGGTTGATCATGGCTCTCCACAACTTCCTATCCTTTTTAGTTCTAAGCTGTGTTTGTTCCACATACTATCGCTACCAATCCCTGTTTTGCCATACACTTGAACAAGCTCGTAAGGTAGGTTGATCATGGCTCTCCACATCTTCCCATCCTTTGTACTTCTAAGTAATGTTTGTTCCACTTACTATCGCTACCAATCCCTGTTTTGCCATATACTTGAACAAGCTCGTAAGGTAGGTTGTTCATGGCTCTCCACAACTTCCTATCCTTTGAAGTTCTAAGGAATGTTTGTTCCATTCATTATTGCTACCAATTCCTGTTTTGCCGTACATTTGCATAGGCTCATTAGGTACGTTGATCATGGCTCTCCACAACTTCTTATCCTTTGTAGTTCTAAGCAATGTTTGTTCCACTCACTATCGCTGCTAATCTCTGTTTTGCCATGCACTTGAACAAGCTCGTTAGGAAGCTTACTCGCTGTTTCCCTTTGTTCATCTTCTTTTTATCATGTCTTGTGTGTGTCAAATCCCCCAGGCCTTCTTTTCTCGTTATGTGTCCCACGAATTTCAGTCGTCACTTTCCGATTCTAATTACCATAAAGACTCGTGTAACGCCCGTTCTCGTGTATTGTACGACCCCCAAATTTTCACTTATAAAAAATGATTTTATCATGTATCTCGTGTATCATGCGAGTTCCTTTTTTAAGAGATCAAATTACAATGGACTAAACCTCTTTTCCTCTTTCTCTTTATCCTATCTTCTAGTTAAATAAGTTAAAAAAAGTAAAAGAGAATGATAAAAGTATCGTTAACAACGCTATACTCGTTGCGTAGACGCGTACAGCCATAAACAACCGAACGAGAAACAGCTAAACATCTTATCAACATAAACAATGGAAATGATGCATATTCGCTATGTCTGTATTTTATAATACGATATTAATGCAGTGTAACCCGGATATAAGAGAGTTGTCGGGACCGGAGAAGAAGTCTCTTATATCCGGGTTTCTCTTATATCCAAGTTTGGTCTATTTTATATACATTAACACAGGCTCTAATTTGGGACCAGAGAAAATCTCTCTTATATCCGGGTTTCTCTTATATCCGGGTCTCTTATATCCGGGTTGGATACAGTTAAGTAAAACATCGGTTTTATCAAAATCATGTTTATTTTAAATACAGCTCTACTTTTTGACTAGAGTAAATGGATATATAGTTTGGTTAACGGCGTAGCCGGGGCCAGCAGTACATACGCTAATTTTGTATGTCATGTATGATGCGACCCTCTTAAAATTAGCTTCAAAATTAGGTCTTCAAACGTCGCATGATACGTAAGTATATATGCTGTATTCTTATAGTTTTGAAACAGATTCCTCATTATGTGCCTTATTAATTTCAACTATCTCTTTCTGAATATGATTACCGTATATACTCACATATTATGCAACCTTTGAAGACCTATTTTTAAAGCTAATTTGACTACAGTAAATGGATATAATGTTTGGTCAACGACATAGCCAGGGCAAGCAGTACATACTCTGGTCTTATACCTCGGGTATGATGCGACCCTCTTAAAATTAGCTTCAAAATTATGTCTTCAAACGTCGCATGATACGCGAGTATAAACGGTATATTTTTGCTTCCATTTTTCGTGCGTCAGCCATGTATTCTCAGAATCTTTCCATAGAACTATATCGCTGTTGTCTCAAGTTGGTTTCTCTTAATCCCTGGGGTAAATCATCCAGCCTTTACGGCCAGATAGGATCATTTCAACACTCTTGTCTTTGTTTCTAACGAAAAATTTCCTTGTTTCTTAATACTTTGTTTAGCCACTTAAAGGCGTAATTCTGCTAGTCC